GAAGGACCCCTCCCCCACCAATCAATCAATCAATCAATCAATCAATCAATCAATCAACCAATCAATCAATCAATCAATCAATCAATCAATCAATCAAACAATCAATCAATCAATCAATCAATCAATCAATCAGCAAAAAAACAATCAATCAATCGATATTTATTTTTTTTTCTATTTTTTTTATTTTTTTTTCACACATCAAAAACCGCCCCCCCAATTTTTTGATTTTTTTTTTTTAGCACAGGCCGATAGCGGCCGACGTGCGCAGGCCGAGCGCGCGCCTATTTTCATCGCGCGCCCCCGCCTGAGCGATGCTCAGCTGCGCGCAGACTCGGCCGCGGGCCTGTGGCCTAGGAGGTCGGCCACGGATTAGGCCGCAAGATCCGCGGCCGACGGTGCCGCGTAGCTTGGAGGACCTTAAAAGTGAGTGGTCGGCAAGGGACCCTCGTGAGTCCTGGGTAGCACTGAGTCGAGGTCCTAGAGGGGAGCATTTCGTTGTGGACATTGGTGTGGGTGGCCGCAAGTACGGTGCCTTCGTAGACATCGACTTCGCGCAAAACTTCATAAGTCGCGACTACGTTGAAAGGTTGCACCTAAAGGACGGGGTGCATCGCCTTAGTAGACCGGTAGCATCTACTTTGGGCAACAACGAGCGCATGATGGTAGAGGACTACGTTAAGGACGTGGTCTGCACTTTCTCCTATCGAGGAGGAGAACTTAATCATAGAATTTCGTTCCTGATGAGCGATGATTTGCCTTTTGGTATGTTGTTCGGTATGTACTACCTTGAGGTTGCCAAGCCCCAGTTTGACTGGGACAAGAAGGTGCTAAAGCATGAGTAGCCTAATGGGAGAACCATTAGACTGATGAAGTACAAAGCCAGTTGGTTATTCGACTCCTATGGGTGCGTATGCGCATTTGCATTCTATAATTATTATAAACAGAAGTTACAGAATCAAGAGGAAGGTATGTACCTGGTCTATGTCTCTGAGAAAGGGGAGGCCGTTAAAACACCCCCAGAGATAAAGAACATCGTCGCTAAGTACTCTGATCTGTTTGAGGAGCCTAGAGGAGTTGTAGAAAGGGAGGTTGTCCATGCCATAGAGATCATCCCAGGTAGCAAGACCCCTAAAGGGAGAATCTATAGGATGTCTCCGACCGAGTTGGACGAGCTTCGGCGACAACTGAAAGAGCTTACATAGAAGGGTTGGATACGGCCTAGCACCTCCTCCTTGCCTCACCAGTATTATTTGTCCCAAATAAACTTTAAGGGGGATCACTAAGGATTTGCATTGATTATAGAGGCCTGAATGCCATCACTGTTAAGAACGCAAAGCCTCTACCATGCATTGACGACCTATTAGATAGGGTGCAGACACTGCAGGGATGTAAGTACTGTACTAAGATAGACTTAAAATCTGGCTACCATCAAATTGCTTTAAGACCAGAGGACCAACACAAAACCACATTCCAAACCAGGTACGGTCTGTACGAGTTTGTGGTGATGCATTTTGGGCTCTTCATTGCGTCGGTTACATTCCAGCACACCATTAATTATTGTACTGTACTTAGATAAGTTCATCGTCGTTTACCTCGATGATATACTTATCTTTAGTAAGACTGTCGAGGAACATGCTCAACATGTAGACAAGGTACTTTCACTCCTTCGCTAGCACAAGTATAAGATAAACTTAGAAAAATGTGAGTTCGGTCAACTCGAATCTTGTACTCGGGTCATGAAGTCTGCGCGGATGGGATTAGGCCCGAAGATGCGAAGGTGGCCAGCGTACGTGACTGGCCACGACCCCAGTCTGTGACTGGGGTCAGATCATTCTTGAGAATGTGTGGTTACTACCGCAACTTCGTTAAGGACCATAGCACGATCACATCTCCCTTGACTGATCTAACTAGACTTGATACGCCATGCCAGTGTCGTCACCTTGTACAGGGACAACCCGTTTGTACTCTCATACAACCATACGTACGGGCCCCCAGCGCCCGTACGACCCGTACGTACGAACTTTGGGCCCTCCGTACGTGGCAATCCGGGGGGGTGTTGAGGGGGTGGATGGGCTGG